CCAAGACACGATCTATCCCTACTACGCTCCCCATTTGGAGCACGAGTGAATCACTTACGCTCCATCCGAGACATGATTCGACCCGTCCACATGCTATGCAAGACACTAATGCACACAACAAATACAAGCACCCACGATGCACACGATCCTACTGATCCATCATCATACACCACACACACACACACACACACACACACACACACACACACACACACACACATATATATATATATATATATATATATATATATATATATATATATATATATATTTATATGCATATATTCCACACATCACCACATACATGTATCATGTCATACACCAATCGAAATATCCACATCAAACGATTAACACGGAAATTACATTCTAACACCACACATACACTTTCCCTAATTCAACATCAATCTCATAATCAATCACGACCAACAAGGGTCCAACAACACAAGAGAACAGAACAGCACATCACAAAAATACAAAACACTGTCATGCTCGCTGGCTCACTCGCTAGGCGAAGCATCAGCGAATGCTCGCTACTTGTTCGCTCAGCGAACTCCCTAGCGAAGCCAGACAGTGGCTACTGGAAGCACTCGCTACCCAGTTCGCTAGCGAATCCCTAGCGAAGATTCGCTACTCGCTCGCCCAGCGAAGCAGCTGGCGAACGTCTGCGATTTCAAAAAAATAAACTGCTCAAAGTCGGCAAAAACACTCCAAACTCAGCCGATTCTACTTCAAACCAGACCCCATCATACCAGACCAGTATTCCACAACCCAACTACAACATCCATCCTCGATTTAGCCTGAGTTAATGTCAGTTCTACTCATTTAATCAACTTCGGCATAAACCTCGAACTACCCGGAAACCCCCAAAATTGATCAAACAACACATGCGAGGGAATCAACATATCATCAATAACTCAGAATCGCAACACCAAGTAAAACATAATCATCAAACTTATGGGGTTAAGGGAAATCTCCTTCTACCTAATATTCATGCATTCTACCAATTTTAACGGACCCCCCCCCCTTTACCTCAAATGCAGTTTCGATCAATGAATCTTCAAGAATTCCACCGCCAAGCTCACTTCTTCTTCCTCTTGATCGCACTCTTCAAGCTTGCTCTTCACTTGCCAGACCGTGCTCTTCTTTCCTTCCTTGCTCGTGTTCTTCTCTTTCTCTATTTCTTCCAAAATGGCACTTATGCCCCTAATATCCCAAAATTCTCTTTTTAATTCCAATAATAATATTAATCCTCATTTTCTCCTTTTTAATCCAAAAAAATTCCAATTAACAAAATCTTCATAATATTAATATTAATAATAATAATAATAATAATAATAATAATAATAATAATAATAATAATAATAATAATAATAATAATAATATCAACATTAATATTAATTATTCATTATTATCATTATCAATTATATAATATTAATATTATGTTCCTTATATCCTCAACAATTCCCACACAAGGCATGCCGATAATAAAATAACACGGGAAAAACTTAAATAATTAAAATGGACGTTACATTAAGTCTCCCGATTATGGAGATCGATTTGAGTACTTGTTATGTCATAGCCTTAAGTCCTTATCTTTATTAGTTCCTAAGTAGTTTATTGAGCAGTCAACATCATCCTAAACACACACTAAGTAGGAAGTTAATGCAAATTAGTGTATGATATCAGACTTAAAAAGAAAGAAGTAGAAAAAAAGAATAAAAATAAGTGTTCCTTCTAAGTTAGGTGATTCTCACCCGATCACTTAGCCCAAGAGTGAAAATTCTTTCATTTGTTGATACTTATCCTTACGTGCAAGAAAAAGAAAAAAATGAGATCATAGTCGCTAACAGACTATCCTATCATGAATGTGTAAGGATAATGAGCTTAATATGATTGCGCCAAAATGAAAAAGGACAAAAGAGGGATGATTGAGTTAGGCTTAAGTATAATGACATGATTCATATTGGTTTGTATATGAGAGAGAGGCTTAGGAACGCACTATCGTGGAATTGTGTTCATACGACATCCTTAGTGTGTAAGCGAGTACCTATCGAAACAATCTTAGCCAAAGTGGAGTTTATAGCCTAGAATGAGTATCCGTATGCATTGTTTCTCATGAGTCTTATTATTACCTGCTGTAAAGTTTTACAAAGTTTTTTCATATGTGTAGCAGTTTGCTTGTGGACAAGCAAAGGTTTAAGTGTGAGAGAGTTTAAAAACGTGAAAATGTATCATATATTTTGACCTGATTCACATGTTATTTAGTGTATGATGTTCTCCACCACCTCATGGCGTTCGCCATGCACCTCAGCCACGTCATATCCAACTTAATCCCATGGCGCTCGCCATGGACGCGCTGAATCAACAAAATGTGAAAACAAAATTTAGCCCATTCTTCCCCACTTCTCTACATTTTCTCCATGACTTCTTCACGAATTTGAAGGCAGCTAGCAGTAGCGTGCCTCTATATAAGATCAGTTTTCATAGGTTTTAGGCATCCAAGTTTATACGCAGAAACTCTGTCGATTTAGTTTTAGGCAAATATATACATTCAAAGTGATAATATCTTACATTGAGAGGTTATCACATCATTAGTCTTAAGTTATGTTATTGTACGCTTGGATCATAATCTTGCCAATATTATTGAAGTTTATTTGGTTTTCATCTGTTGTACTCAAAGTTTTCCGCAACTTTAATTATAGTTTTTACAGGTTTCTTATATCATTGCTTTATATTTCCGTTTATCACATTTTAATTCATTTACCATGTTGTCCTTAAAATCAATTACCATGATATCTATGTTTAAGTTTCAAAGCATGTCCGGCTAAACCTCTTTGATTGAAATGGGCAAGCAATAGCAAAATCTCATGGTCAGAGAGTGTAACTTTAATCAATAACGCGAGAGTGTGAGATATAGTTTATAAATTGGTATTTTCTACTGAAAGCAATTTAACAGTAAACTAACGCCAACAAATTACAGAGTCTCCAGGGTGCACGGAATCCACATTTCGGTCTCTCCTGTCTGATATATTTCTTAATCTTATTTTAGTTTTAATTTTAATTTTAGTTTCCCAAATTCAAAATTTCATTATCCTTAACTTTACACATTATCAATAGATAACAATAGATCGATTATTAGTTTTTATGAGTTTGATATCTTTTAAAACTACATGGTAGACTGTATACTTGTAGTTAGATAATCTGATAGATTCATAAAATCGCAATCAAACAAAACGGATTTCGACCTCCAGTGATCTTGTCTCTCGTAGAGTTAACATTAATATCATTTTTCAATATAATTATAGTTTTTATTAGTTATAAAAACCTAAGCCTAAATTAAGTTTGAGAGACTGAATTTCTTTATTGAAAGAGTGATATATCTTACTATATTAGTTATATTATATACATTTTGGATTTTTTGACTTGATTTAGATTGTAAAATAGCCTTTTAGATATTAGTTGGTACATTTTATTCAAATTAAATACTATCATAATATTTATGCAAAATAAATATATTAATTGAATTGATTTTTTTATTTATAATAATTATAAAAAAAAAGAAGTAAATAACCCATAAACTTGAGTCAGTCCAACCCATTAATGGCAACCCGTTTATTAGCTAGCCACTACATAGTGGAGCGCACGTGTCATTAATATTTGTTAAATAGCTAAAATTATGTCTAAATATGTTGAATGGACCTTGACCATATAAGAAACAATACTTAGGCAAGAAAAGAGACCATGCTAAAATTATGTCTAAATATGTTGAATGGACCTTGACCATATAAGAAATAATACTTAGGCAAGAAAAGAGACAATGCTTGAAGTTTTAAAACTCTTGAATGTTCAATTGTTAGATTAGAAAGATATTATTAGCTAAACTTTTCTTAGACTCTGTCTTGAATCTAGTCAAACGGACTAGACTCTTGCAACGCGACAAAGTTTAATTCCGACTAAAATCTTCTAAACTCAAGACTATCTTTATTCGAAAATACTATATAAAAAAATAAAAGATATTTTAAAAAAAATTAACAAAAGAGAAAATTAGATTTAAGTGTCGAAAAACAAGAAATATATACTAATGTTTTAAAAATTAAATCAATATTAAACTGGTAAGAATATTAGTCACTGATTTATTGATCGGATCATTGAATCACTTATTAAATCGTATAATAAAATCGAATAACTCAATTGAATAAATTGGTTTTTATAGCAAAGTTATATAGTTATTAAACCGATCGAATTTGATGACTCTATCGGTAAAAAAAATCACAACTACACAATTTCAAATTTTAAAATATCATAATTTTAAAAATTCATTTTTAAAATTAAAATTTTAAACATAGTCTTACAAAATACAAATCAAAATAAATTTTAAATAAAATCTAATTGAACATAAAATAAATAATAAAATAATTTAAATAAAATTTTGAATAAAGTATAATTGAACATCAACTAAATTATAAAATAAGTGCATGACTAATAAATTGAATTATAATGAGAAAATTCTAATTATATTGTAACTTCTTTAAATATTCAAAACGACAATGTTTTATCTTAAAAAAACAAACATTTAACTGCCGGTTCACCGATTTTTATCGATAGGAATTAAGTTAAGAGATCAAAATAAACTTCGTGGTTTACATGACTTAAAAGAATATTAATCCCATCGGATAACTTCACAATGAATCGAAACATAGTCATCTGTATTCATATCAAACCAACTAGAACACAGTTTTTTAAAATCTTTCTTATAATACAAATAATCAGTAAGTGTAGTTTTGATCCTGTCACAAAATATGCATCAGCCAAAGTATTTATTTACACAAAATAAACAAATCTGCTAAGGTGAAATTAATCTTTTTTTAAATCCAACATCATGAGTACAGCAAAAGGTATAAACAACATCATAGCACTATAGTGCTTCATGTGAGCCTGAAATCCTAATATCAACAACTGATAATCTCCATATAACTGTCATCATCTCTTTTGGTCAAAACTCAATTACAAATTTGAGTACACAATTGCTGAATCTGCGAACTAGTTGGATCTGGCATGAGGTATGTACTGGATTTACCATTGCTCGAGCATGTTACATTCAGCTGGTTGCCAAGCTGGTTTGACTGCATTTTATAGTTCGTGTTAAATAAGTTCGACCGGGATCTAATAATATTATTCAGATGAAGATACTTTCATGTAAAATGCTTACCAAACAATATGCTGCTTCGGTATGACAGCTCCATTTTGAAGTTGGAACACAGGACAAATAATGGCACCAGGAGCAGTGATCATTTGCATCAACGCCGCGGAGCAGTGCAATCAGTCCAACAGAAAGCCTGTGATATTTAGACAAATTAACAGGCAGAAGTTGCAATTTACTCATGCACAGAACCGAATTTTAAGCATTGGTGTTTTATCTCATCATATTCCGTGAAAATTTAGAACGTGGCTATTAAAGTGTAATTAAGATCATGAAACACGGTATTAACTTGATATCAGAAAAATGAAACCTCGGAGTTCAGATCTTACCCAACAATTAAAATGATCAAGGAGAGGACCCATAATATGCACTGATATTTCTTGAATTTAGGCTTAGCACGTGTTGGAGAATAGTCTACACGAGCATATCGTTGGTTTACCCATCCAAACTGAGGACGTATCAGAAACACAAATCCGAGAAGAAACCCTGTAAGAAAGCCTCCAATATGAGCAAAGTTGTCCACATGCGGGAGAATCCCGATTGCAAGATTGATAACAATGATGATCACAAGTGTGAAAAATGCTGCAAACTGAACATGAAAACAAAATTTTGATTATTAGTAGTTTTCTTTTAAGCGCACAATCACAGTACAAATTAAGAAACTTCAATATGCACCTTATTATCATACATAGACCAGTTAGTAATGAGCTCTGATAGCATTCCTCCTAGCAACCCGAAGAGTGCACCAGAAGCACCGACAGAAATGTTTGACTGAATGAAAAGAGCGGAAAGCAAACTGCCTCCAAATCCGGATATGACAAATAGCAGTCCAATAAGCACTGTAGCAAATTTATAAATAAGTCATTAATATTAATGAGAAGCTTAAGATAATCATACATATTCAACGAGAAACTTAAAGGAGTACACTTTGGTGTCATTTCGATCTTTTTACCAATAATTAACAGTAAAGCTCATATTATACTTCAAATCGGATTTTTTATTGTTATTTTAGAAGTTGCCGCGTGTCAATACCATAGAGGTTAGCAATGCCATCTATTAACCTTTCATCAACTATAAATTACTAGTAGTCTAAGGTTAGGATGTTTTTCAAAGTTTAGGGACTAAAAGCTTACTTAGAATCAAAAATATATTTAATAATCCTACTAAAGAGTAAGCAGAATATGTCACACATACCAAACCCGAATTCTTGCTCAAGCCGAATTCCAATGAATAGAATACCCAACATATTTGCTAATAGATGGAAAACTCCACCATGTAGCCACATACAAGTGATGAGACGCCAACCCTGGTGCACGCGAACCACTTTGTTCACATCAAGAGCCCCCATCTTCTGTAGCCTAAGCAACATAACCAATAGTCAGGTGTTTAATCAAAATAAAAATCAATTCAAAATTCAAAATTTCTGTCAGATATTAAAATCAATTCATAAGAAAAATATCCATAAGGTTTAAATAACTTTTTCATCCACATATACACCTCCACTATAATCCTTGAAAAAATAATCTCACGGTTCTTAATCCATAAAAATATAGGAAAGTTAGCTTCCATCACAAGTTGTTTTGGTTTAGTCTCCATATTATTGGTCTATGCCAGACTCAATCCTTAATTTTCTGTTGTTCAACGTTGTTTTGCTTTTTGTCTCAATAACGTTGACCTACGCTCCAACTAGTCCTTCTAATATTTTAGTTTATGGAATAAGGACTACATAGGAAATAATTCTAACATGGACCAGTAGTATATTACATATAAGAAAACTATTGTTGTCAACCACGAATCACAAGAAATAGCGGTTTGTTAAAATTAGTGCTATATGCTGCTATAGCCTTTATTTAGCAACATTTTGTTCTAAATAGCGTATATCACAGAACTAAAAGATTAACTCTTACATCTCCCTTTCTCGATATCATGCCCTAAAATGAGACACTTTGTCCATATTTTACTGTGGTTCATGGTCAAACTTGAACCTAAATGACTCACACAGGATTGGGTTGTGTCTTTCTTGCCCTTGCAAATGGGAATTAAAACCTATTCTGGACTGAACCTAGAGACCAAACCTTTCTGTGCAGCTCAATTGAGTAGCCTGTAATCTACACTGCGCCTAAAGATTTTCAACACACGAGACGATTACCACATTTCAAGGCATAAGTATTCAACCAAACTACTATACGTTTGGACCTAGAGACCCAACCCTTGAGTGCAGCTCAATTGAGGAGCCACATACATGTTAACCTGATCAACAGTTGCCCGCAATCTATGTTGCGCTAAAGATTCTCAACGCACGAGACAATTGCCACATTTCCAGGCATAAGTATTTAACCAAACTACTATACAACTGGACCTAGAGACCCAACCCTTGAGTGCAGCTCAATCGAGGAGCCACATACATGTTAACCAGATCAACACTCACCCGCAGTCTATGCTGCGCCCCAACCCTTGAGTGCAGCTCAATCGAGGAGCCACATACATGTTAACCTGATCAACAATCGCCCGGAATCTATAGTGCGCCTAAAGATTCTCAATGCACGAGACAGTTACCACATATCAAGGCATAAGTATTCAACCATACTACTATACAACAGCTCAAAACCATAGTGAGAAATCAAACAATAGTCTCCCATGCTTAAAGAGACTAACCAACCCCCTCTTTTTTTTTGTCAATAGACGAAGCAGTAATAACCACTAGAAATTATCACAGTCCACGGCGAGTGCCACGGTTTGAACCCATTAATGGGTTCCAACCTAGCAATATCAGTTTTGTCGGTTGACTCAGGTGAGCTAGGATTTGCGGATTATACATACAAAGTTAGCAGTTCCTAATCTTCCTATGAGAATAACCCCTTTTACTATACCCAATTCACTATCAATCCCAACAACAACAAAAAAAACTAAATTTTCATGAATTCCAACATGATAATATCATAAAACACAAAAAAGAAAAAGGAAAGATAAAAGAAAAAAAAAACTAACGTCAACGAAGAAGGACCAAGTAGCGGATTTTCTTTAAGAGGCTGAAACGAGAACCGACGGAGGAACCGAGCAATACAAGAAACCGAATTATTAGGACAATCATTAACATACATAGTGACAACAAAAACGACGACGTTAGCAACAACAAAGAACGGTATCAACCAAGGAAACCATTTCTTATAATGCTTAACTTCCCTAACACCATTGTAGTGTTGGTTTTGAACCGGTATTGAAATTGGGTGAACCACGTTGTTGTTGCTGTTCGTTGAAAGGATCTGCAATGGAGGTGCCATGGAGAAGAGGGGGTATAGAGGAAGAGGAAAGTGTGGTTTTTTTTCTTGTGGGTTGAATTTAATTTGATGAATGGGTTTGGAAATTGAAAATTGGGAGAGGGAGTCAGAGGAAGAAGAAGAAGAAGATGAAGGAGTCAAAAGAAGTTTGGTTTTTTAGATTACCAACTTTACTTGCACCATTGGGACACTCATTTTTTTATTACAAATTTTTTAACCCTATTTCATTATTATTTTTTTATTATTACTACTATTACTTATTTCATTAGTTTTTTTTTTTAAAATTATAAATTAGTTTTTTAAATTTGATAGAAAAAACTCTTTTTTATTGATTTGAATTAGGTTTGAATTTTTTTTTTTCTATTTTAAAAAATAAATATGAAAGAGATAATGGGTGTATTTGTATTTGTTTAAATTTGTTTTGTTGATAATTTAAAATATTTAATTTTGATAAAATTTATAATATTAATTAGTTTGTGAAATAATTGTTTGTAAACAATACATATATCGACTTTTTAATCATAATTTATTATAAAAATTAACGTCATACATTTTTATAAACTAATTAGAATAATTTATTACAAACATTTAATTTATTGGATGGTATGATATATATTTGATCTATAATCTATTATACTTAGTGATAAATGATATATTTATTTAAATAAATTATTATTCCAAATTACAAAGTAGTACAAGGAAATATGGTTGAATGATAATACAAAACTACTTTGCATATCTATTAAATTGAAGAAAAAGAAGTAAAAAGAAAAATTAGAGCTATTATTAATAAAATATAATATTATACTTATAAAATGAAAATATAAAACATTTTTTCTTCCTTTCAACAACTTTTAAAGAAAATTTGTCTGGCAATAAAATGATAATGATACTTGAGTTCAAAATGTTAGGAATAATGTTTTGTGAACGTGAGAAAAAAACACAAGAGGGAGAGGGTTGAGAAATTGTGTTGACTATTTCTTTCTTTTTAAATTTTTGGTTAGATTTTAAACACAAAGTATAAAATCTGAATCAATCAGAGATAAACAGCGGATATGAAATGCAAGAAAGAATAATAACACAGAGTTATCCGAATTTCTCTCACAACATGAAAGTAATCCAGCCCTCTTGTACTTACAAGAGATTTTCACTATAATCACACAAGATTACAATTTGCTAAAGTCTAGAAGTAAGAGACTTATATGCTCAAGCACACTAACAAGAGACTTCTAATGCTCAAGCACACAAGCAAGAGACTTTAAATGCTCAAACACTTAGCAAGAGACTTCTAACAATCTACCTAACATATAAATAATTATTGGGGTAATACACTTGATATACAACCAGAGGTGTAGAAAGAACACAATACAAATAGACTCTTTTAAGACTTAGGGATTTCTAATATATACAAGGATAAAAAATCCTAAGTTTAGCTTGCGTTTTTGTTTTGACAGAGTAACTTCTCTTTTTGTGTCAATTGATATATTTTTCTTCAAGTCTTCAGCTCCTTAAATAGAGAAGAGAAATTATTGTTTAAGATCCAACGTAATAGAGTCTTTGAGAAGCTTGAATAGAGACGTTGATATGTTTCTTCAAATAGTTACAGACGTTGAAAGCTTGTTTGAAATTCATTTGCTGCAAGAGGAATTTTAAGTTGCATCTCAGCTGACTCTTGAAGAAAATAAAGCTTAGGTTTTCACGTGACAAAGTAGACTCACAGGTTGACACTGATCCATCAAAGTCACATTGGTCTTTGCGCTTTGACTGGCTCATGTTATGATCATCATAAGCAAACTTCTTTAAAGTATGTTCTTCAGAGTCTGACTTCTTCAGACTCTGACCTTCAGATGTTGACCTCTTCAGAAGTTGACTTCTTCAAAGTCTAGTCTTCATCTTCTGATCCATCAGATTCTAGTCTTTAAGCTTCTCATTAGACGTTCATATTCAAAATCAATACTTGAATTATTCATGAAATTTTAGCCTATGGTCCTGCATACTTGAACAAATATTAGTATACTTAAATATTCTTTAAATACTTTGTTATCATCAAAACCTAAGGGATATGCGAAAAATCAATTTTGTTCCAACAATATCCCCTTTTTGATGATGACAAACATAAGTATTTAAGAATAATGGTTGATGATTTAATTAATAAGGCGACTTCAGGGTCTGAGTTTTATAAGCTCCCCCTGAGTCTAATACTCCATAGGGTGAGGTTTGTAAGCTTCCCCTAAATCCTATCCAGTTTAATTAAACTTAAAAATTCATAGCACAATGATAATTATTCAGAACTTAAGGAAGAATAATAACTGTCAAATTTCAGGTACTTAAATACTTTTATATTTACTCCCCCTTTTATCATCAACAAAAATAGATTAAGAAAATAGAAAAGATGCTGAATAAAAATATGATAAGAAAATACACAGATATAAAAATGTTTGAGATTTTACCAGATCTGGATAAAAATGATTTAAAATCATATATTGATTTCCCCCTCTTTCAAAAATTATTTAAAAAAATATTTTGAGAAAGTGATTGAAATCTGGCTTGAATTATTGGAAAACAAGTCTTCAATTCTCAAGATGGTCAAAGCAAGTTCTGACAATGAAGAAATTGATAAAAATAAAGTAGTCAAAGTTGGGAAGATGTGTTTGAAGATCAAAGTTACATCTCTCTCCTATGTCCAATGGTGTATAATAATCAACACCGATTCTACTTTAACCCAAACTCTCTATACAAGCTATCTTCTGTTACCACCAAGTCATCCAAGAATTCCAAGGAGAGCTCTTCCAAAGAGTTTGACAAGGCAGTTAGGGATGCTGAAGGAAGAAAACACAAGGATGATAAGCTCAATAAGTCTGAAGGTTCAATGTCACAAACTAGTTCATCTACAGAAGCTTCTTTGTTGGAGAGAACTTTAGTCTCCAAGATGAAGAAACTCAAAAGAATAATAAGGATCCAATTACTGAACATGATTCAGATGCTCATGAGGACTGAATGAACTACCTCACAAGCCATGATTTTCATCCTAATGTAGTTTGAGAGTTGTAGCCATTATAATATATCTATTTGCTTATGAGAATAATGCAGAATAATACAATCTTGATTAATAATAATAACATATCCTTTTTCTTTGCATTTATATATGATTATATTTCCATTAACATCCATTTATTGAGCCATCAAGAATATTGTTTTAGAGAAGTTTTCAACCATTTCAACCAATTTCGTACGTGTTAAGATAAGTCTAGAGAGTTTAAAAGGAATTTTAATCACACAGCCATAACATAAATGATTTAGGGGAATCAAAATAATATTTAATTTTATCCAATAAAATAATTCCTAAAGGTAACACAAACATTTTTATCATAAGAAGGAATATGTATGACATATATCACGCGTCTTTGCTTAAACAAAAATGATTGGTTAAGGTCATTAATATAACTCAAAAATCATAAGACATAAATGTCTTAAAGGAATTCTGGCTTAGGAACTTCTGAACCAAAAAATATTCTTACTTAGAGAACTAACTGGTTCATAGTCTATAACTCAGAAACACAGAGAAGATAAACTAAGGCACAAAAGGAATTAGATAAAAGATGATAATGACAAATGGAGGTGAAAAAATAGTATCCAAAACACTTACATCATTAACCACAAGTTATTATCCGACATCTAAGAAACCAAGTGTCAGAAAACCTTTCTGATTCATGACACATAAGTGGACAAGTGTTAAAAATAAATATTTATGCTTATATGGTATTAGAGGCAACTAATAAAATTCTGAGCATCAGAGGTTGAGTTACATCATATGCTATTATTCATCAAAATCTAGTTCAAAGCTTTTGATCACAATAACTTCTAATCATTATCATACTCTGATCCTCCCTTCAGAAGAAAGCCCTAATCTTTAACAAAATGCATGTTCATATTCTTTTTGATAAAATCAAAAATTTCAATAATAAGGGATTTGGTAAATATATCATCCCACTGATGATTATTAGGAATGAACTGTATATCTATCACACCCTTCTAAACATAGTCTCTAATAAAACAATGTTTTACTTCTATGTGCTTGGTTCTAGAATGTTGAAGAGAATTCTTTGTCAAACAGATAACAACAGTATTATCATAAAATATTGGAATACTGCTTCCACTTATCTGATAGTATTCAAACATATATTTCATCCAGAGTAGTTGTATGCAAAAACTTGCAGCTGAGATGTATTCTTATGTTGTAGACAAAGCAATAGTTGTTTGTCTTTTACTAGCCCGGGATATTAGGTTTTCACCTATGAATTGACAACTCTCACTAGTGGATTTTATCTCAATTTTATCTCCAACATAGTCAACATCACAGAATCTAACTAACTTATAATCTAAGGATGTTTTCATAAAGAAACCCTAGATTGGCGGTTCCCTTCAGATACCTAAAGATCCTCTTAACAACTGTTAAGTGAGTCTCTCTATGATCTAACTAAAATCTTCCACACAGACAAAAACTGAATAAAATATATGGTCTAGAAGTTGTTAAATAAAGTAGAGTCAATCATACCTCTATACAACTTCTAACATTCATTCGCGTTGCTTTCCTCTTTGCTTAAGTTATAGGTTGGATGCATAAGAGTGCTCACGATCTTGCAATCATCAAGCTTGGACAACTTTATAAGCTCCTTTTTATATTTAGTCTGATGAACATAGACTCTATCCTTTCATTGATTGATTTGAATACCAAGGAAGAACTTCAGCTTTCCCATCACACTCATCTCAAACTCAGCCTGCATTGTCTTTGAAAATTCTTAGCAAAGGAAAACATTAGTTGAACCAAATATAATATAATTAAATATAGACTTGGAAAATTAAGATGTTATTTTTAAGTGTCTTTCTGAAGAGTGTAGTGTCGACTTGCTCTTTTTGAAAATCATTTTCTAACAGAAAATTACTCAGTCTCTCATACCAAGCTCCAAGAGCTTCTTTGAGCATAAAGTGATTTCTTAAGCTTT